TAATGCACGGGTATAAACAATAATTTTAAAAAATATTATATTAATATATTTTTAAATTTTAATATACATTAAAAAGTAAACACGGTATCTATTACAAAATAAACTTTTAGTTTTAAAATATTTTTTTTCCATTTGGGTTCAAGTTTTTTCCTATTGAGTTTGTATTTGTGGAAAATGTTTTCTGCATAGGTTATTTTATTTATTTATTTATTTTCTATTTTTAGCTTCAATTTTTTTTCCTATTGAGTTAATTATTGTGGAAAAGGTTGTCTACGTAGATTATTTCATTCATGTTTTTTCCTCAGTTGGGATGATCATTCCTAACCTTCCTATTTTAATAAATATTATTCAAAATAGAATTCTTACGTGACATCCTATACTTAATGTTGTGCGTGTAAATAATTGAGTAAATAATGTGGGTCCACGATAAATTCTAGTCAGGAATAAATTAAATAAAGATCCTAACATATATAGAAGAGAAAAATAATTACTTTTTAGATCTAATAATTAATAAATAATTGAATATATTTTTCTTCATTGTAACTATCATTATCATTTTATTTCTCTGCCTTCAAAATAAGAGACTATTCCTTGTCATTAATTAATATAATTCAATCTACGGTAATTAATTAATAAAAAAAATTATATAATAATCATATGTTTTTTCTATATTTATGATGAGAGTTTAAGACTTAGGCCGTAGGTTATTAACCCCTAAACAACCCTCTATTAGCTAATTATAAGATTATTAATTTTATTAAAATATATATTGTTTAATTCTTTTTCCAATAATTAGAACTAAACCTAAATTATATAGTTTTTATTTTTTTTCTTATATTAGTTTTCGTTCATTTGTTTTCTGTTTGGCTTCAATCTTTTTCCTATTGAGTTCATAATTGTGGAAAAAGTTGTCTATGTAGATTATTTCATTCATTTATTTATTTATTTTCTCTCTTTTATTAGGATGATCATTTCCACCCTTCCTATTTAATTAAATTATTTCAACACTCCCTCTCGTGCAAATATTCAAAACAGAATTTTTACGTGACATTCTAGTTAATGTTGTGCATGCATGTAAATAATTGAGTAATTAAATTATCTTTAGTGGGTGCATGATAAATCCAAGTTAGAAGTAAATTAAATAAAAAGTAGAGAAAAAAAATAAGCTTTTAGATCTAATAATAATAATAATAATAATAATAATATAAGTTAATCTAAGGTAATTAATAAAGAAAATTATATAATAATCATATGTTTTTTCTATATTCATTATGCGAGTTTAAAACTTGGACACGAACAACCCTTTATTAGCCAATTATATGATTATTAATTTTATTTAAAAAATATATAGTTTAATTAATTTTCCTTTAGAACTAAAATATACGTAATATAATTGAGAGTCTACAAGATATTTTTAAAAAATTAATTAAAAATTAATTATAATTAATAATTATATAATGGTAAGGAAATCACATTAATGCAAAAGATGTAGTTTCAAAATTTTTTATTTCTTTTAATTAACCTGCGATGACATGTGATTAAATAGTTGATAAATAAGTTTTAATATCTGCACATGTACATACAAAATTGCTTCACATAATTAATGATGTTCCTCGTATACAAAAACTGATTGAGAAGGGAAAGATATTGTATAGATAATCACAAAATATTATTTATTATAATAATATATTCTTTAATTTAATTTTTAATATTAAATTAACTATAAATTAAGCTCTACAACTCTATTTTATTATTTTTTTTATGAAATTATTCAATTTTTATATCTTGGATCGAATGTTTTACGAGTTTACCTAGTTAATTTGAGTTTTTATTGACTTTCTTTTTATAAATGATTTTTTTAATTTTATTTTTTAATATTTAAGTTAATTAAAAATTAAATTTTATAATTTATTTTGATTTATTTACTATGAGATTATCTCAGTTTGATAATTTAAGTCAAGGGTTTGGTGTGTTAACCCTGGTTGACTTGATTTTTTTTTTTGTCATTTTCTTAATAATTTTTTTTTCAATTTCATCATTAGGTTTGGTTAGGAAATAGACTTTATAAGTTATTTTAATTTATTTTTTATTGGATTATTCCAGTTTTATTATCAAAGTTTATTAGGTTAATATGAATTAACTCATGATTCTTTTAATTTATCATTTTTTTTTTATTTTTTTCAATTTAATTCTTTAACATTAGGTTGATTATTTCTAGATTGATTTAATATGTTGTTGTCTTGATATATTTTTTTAAAATATTATCTTGAAATTTTTTTTAATCAATTATGTTTTTTTCCAGGTTTTTAGGTTATTTTTAAATTTATCAAGTCGATTGGATTATATAAGCCAATTCTTTTATAATTTATTTTTTTCTTCATGAAAACATGCTAGTAATACATAGAAATTATTTTGAAAGTTTTAAAAATTTAGATTTAATATGTAGATAAATAATCTAATCTACACCACAACTTATGTCTCGATCAAGAAAAAAATTTGCTATTTCAAAATCAAGTTCATTTGCACAATCAGAAAATTTATTATCTCTAATGAAATATTTTTTCAGCATCTAAACTATGTTTCCATATATATATATATATATATATATATATATGTATGTATGTATGTATATCATATGTGAGTGTATCATTATAGATTTCATGTTCATTGATAATTTAGTTAGTGATTTAAATATCAATAAAAACACCAATAAAATATTCACGCAGAAAAAATAATTGTTGATCATTTTTTTGTTGGCCAATATTATAGTAATAATTTTTTTTATTTAGAAATACATTAAAATAATATATATATATTTATTTATTTTTAAAAATTTATTTTTAACGACAAAATATATTGAAAAAATCTAAAAATCTAAAAAATTATTTTTTTAAAAAAGAACTCAAACTTTAAAAAAACACCATTTGAGCCACAAAAACAAACAATGCACTTATACTCGGTTGAAAAATGCAATGAAAAAAAAAATAGAGAGAAGAAAAAGATATAATGTTATTTGTGCGAGGCTGGGCTTTCATGCCCAGCTCTCACGTAGCTTTGTGAGGTATAGGACCCAAATTTTCGAAATTGAAGCTAGCCCAAGATTTAAGACCCGCAATACTAGAGTCATATATTTTCAAAAACCCCTAAATTTGCCTGAAAGCCCTAATTTATTTTGGCTCCAAAATACCCACCATGAAGAGAGCTCTGCTGACAAAGCTCTCTGTCTGCACGCGAAAGCTCCTTCTATCTCCTCCCAGATTAAACCCTAACCCTAGGCCATCACTTGCTCAACTCACTGTCTCCACTCGTTCTAGACTCAGCAGGTTCTACTCTTCTGAGTGTGACTCATCCTGTGAAGCAAGATTGACCCAGAAGTCGAATGGCTCCATCGAAGATGCTGATGAGCTCAGCACTCAAGGTAGGGCGTGAAATTGAAAATGGGTTTTGCTTTTTGTGGAAAAAAAATTTGGACTGTAATTGTATGTGCATGAAAATATCTCCTTGTTTTAGTTTCAAAAATATAAAGATTGGACTTTTAGGCTGAATTTTGTTAGGTTTGTAATCTTTTGTTTTTGCATTTTCAGTTTAATTTTCATCGGTGATTTTGAAAAAGAACGACTCTTTTGTGTGTTCAATGTTGCAAATTTGTGACCTTTTGAGAACGGAATGCATGGCCATTTGTTTTGGGTTTGTGGATTGAAAGTCATGTTGTCAAAAACTGAAGTGTGAGATTATATGGGTTGCAGAGATAAAAAGGCTGGTGGAGAAGTACTACGAAGGTGAAGATGAGTCACTGCCATTGATTTTCGAAGCAATTATAAATAGGAAGCTGGCAGGGATCCCGGATGACAAGTTGATAGAACAACTTAATCTAGAATCTCCTACAAATGGTTTTGAGGACAAAGAGTTTGATTTTGATTTTGAAGATAAATGGAGTGAAACTGATGAGGATGGTGATGAATTAGATTGATGGTATGTTGATGCTGTTATTGCGAGAATTATAAGTAATGAATGACTAATGTGCCTATTTCAGGGAATCTTGTGGTTGAAAATTTGTAGTTTCTTGTTATGCAATGCCTACAGCTGCAGGAGCATAAGAGCATAATCATAGTGATGTAGGAGGTTATAAGGAAAATTATTTTCTTTAATAATTTTCTTTTCTATTTAGTTTAGGAAATTAAATATTATGTTTAATAATTTTGTTTTATTTAATTAAGTATAGGAATCTTTATAATTATAATAACTTTGTAATTATTTATTAGTTTTTTTTTTGTCTTTAAGTTAGACCAAGATTTGGTATAAATATGGCTGTCTAATTTGTATTTCAGCAAACTAATCAGAGAGAAAATATTTAGTGTTAAAATTTTGAATTAGGATTTTTGTGTGGTGATCTTATTTGGTAGAATTTTGTGTTGATTGTGTTTGCCCTTTTTTTTGTCATTGGTTGGTATTAAAGTCCAACGATTCCTGGCGGTGCAGTTTGTGTTGTGTGTTGAAATAATCATGGCTGAATTTTGTATAATAACTTCATAATTATTTATTAGGATCTTTTTTCCTCTTTAAGGTAGACCTAGAACTAGTATAAATATCGTTGTTTAGCTTCTATTTCATCAGATCACTCAAAGAGAAAATATACAGTTGTATTTCTTCAGATCACTCAAAGAGAAAATATACAGTATTAAAATTTTGAATTAGGGTTTTTGTGTGGTGATCTTATTTGGTAGCATTCTATGTTGCTTGTGTTTGCTGTTTTTCTTGTGTCATTTTTGTCCATGTTGGTATTAAAACCCAATGATTTGTAGTGGTTTGTGTTGTGTGTTGAAATAATCATGGCTGGAAGATGACGCAAAACAAGAAGTGCTTGTGTTGTAGGGATGAGGAGGTTTCCCCTACTGCTTGTGTTGGAGGGATGAGGAGGTTTCTCCTAGGGAAAGGCATTCAAGAACTGACGATAAAAGATATGTAGAGATAGATTGTAAAATTAACCCATCAATTGGTGGAAGTGATGAACCTGAGGGATCATGTGGAGAGTAATCACGGATCCATTGTCAGCTTTGAAAACTATTTTAGAGGCGAGAGCAGAGGTATACTATACTGATAGGTTCAAATCATGGGATTTCTTATAATGGATTTTGATCTCTGGTTGTTGCTTTTAGTCTCTATTCTGATATTTGGAATTGGACCAATAATGAAGATTTTGGTGATCCCATTTATAATGAGATAGATGTGGATTGATGTTCTCCAATAATTTCTGATGTTTATTTTAATGGTAATTGTGATAGCATAACAAACAATAAGAGTAATGAGATTGATGATGTCATCAATAACGTTCTTATTGATAAGTTAAAGGTTGAGTGCAAAGAGAACAATAAAGGAACTCAACAAAATTAATAGAATTGTATTTTTTTATTAGGCATCCAACAGATCTAGACAATAGTAATTTAAACTGGAGGGTGAGCTTTTTCAACTTGATGACGCTGATGTAGGAGGTTTGAAGGAAAATTATTTTTCCTTTGTTATTTTTATTTAGTTTATAAAATTATATTTATGTTTTATAATTTTTTTTTCTATTTAGTTTAGAAATCTCTATAATAACTATATAATTATTTGTTAGGACTTTCTTCTTTTCAAGGATGACCCAGAAGTGGTATAACTATAGCTGTTTAGTTTATATTTTAGTAGACCATTTGAAGAGAAAAATATTCTTTAATAAAATTTTGAATTAGAATATTTATGTGATGACTTTATTCAGTAAAATTCTATTTTACTTGTATTTGTTGTCTTTGTTATGCTATTTTTTACTACGTCAATCAAGAAGGGTTGCAATGAATGCAAATGTTCTTCTAATGTTATGCTTATATGATATGATATTTGATAATTAATGGAAGTGTACCATCCTTGTGGATGTTTTGCTAGTTATTTTATATTTTGGATATATAGTTGAAATGAAGGATTTTGTTCACATGAAAGGCCTAAGGGTAGAGCATATGTGCAAAGTGTTTGAACTTTGAATGTGAAAACTTGAAAACTTAAGGAATCATGTTGCTGCGCTTTGCTGTTTAGATAATTACTGAACTCTTTGTTTGAATCTCAGTTGCAGTATAGTTCTAGTTGCAGGATGGAATCTCTCTTTTAAAAGTTTTCTTTTCATATATGTTCATTTCATCCTCTCTTCTTAAATCCGCAAGATCATTGATAAATTTTATATTACTTTAGAGTAACTACATTCACTTCATGAGTTCATTTAAAAAAAAAAGATACACATAAAGTTGAAATAAAAAATAACATCAGGTCTATTTTTAAAATGATATAAAAAAAGGACTGTCGTAGAAGGCAAAATCATTGAGATCATAGATATATTTTACTATTCATTATAATAGTGAAATGACATATAAAAAATTGCTTGCTTTTGAATCAAAGGTTTTTTTTGTTCTTTTAAGTGATACATTATTCATTATAGGTTTATTTAAGAGTATTTTTATTTATTCCATATTTTTATAAATAGTAAAATAACAAAAATACCTTTAAAATAAAAAATAAAATAAAATTGCCAGAGAGGGGTGTTTTAATCTCTTTCTTTTGTTGTGCATGGTTAAATCACCCAAAAGCCCCTGGAGCTAGCCCAAAAAAAAAAAACTCTGGGGATCATAGGTGATTGTTTTGTTGTGGGTTTTGTTTTTTGTTTATTTCATTAGGGGTAATAACGGATATTAGTATTTAATTTATATTTTAATTGAAAAAATTATTGTTGTCTGCTAAGTTTATATTTAGATAGCACTTGTAAATTGTAATGTCTCGAGTGATTAAAAATATGTTTATGTCATTTTATTTTATTTTTTATTGTTTTTCTTTTTAGATATGTCATTTATGTTTATTGGTGGGTTTTTTTTCTCTTCATTTCTCTCACTTACCTTAAAAAACAAACTATGATTCTCATTGTTATTGGTGTTTTAGTTGTCTTTTTAATTATAATTTTTTAATATTTTTTTATTAACTTTTATTTGTTTTTATTTTTAATTTATATATATAATTTTTCTCGAGTTGGTCCTATTTTTTTTCCTATTTGTTCTTTTATCGAAGTTTATGTCTTTTAATTTTATTTTTTAATTCAAGTTTATAGTTTTTTTTTTCAACAATGATAATAAAAAGAATAATTTTAATTTGGTCATTTTTCTTGTAAGTTCTTATTGTTTTCATTTCCTTTTTTATTAAGTTATTGTAGTTTTTAATTTTATTCTTCATTTAAGTTATGGTTTTTGTTTATTAATAGTTGTTGTAATAATAATATTAGTAGTCATGGAGTGGGGGTGGGGGTGATAACAACTTTTATCGTTACATTGCCTTTTTAATTTGTAACGGATTAACTCTTAAATCAAGTTTTATTATAATAATAATTATTCTTATTTTATATTGGTTTAGGTTAACTCAGGTTTACCCTCCTAATGTATGACCCTAGCCTTATCTTGAGTTGACCTTTGAGTCGGATTTAAAAATTATAATAATAATTATTTTTGTTTTTATGATGACATGAGTCAATAATCAACTTCACTTGTAACATTGGTCTTATCTAGGTTCGGTTCCTGAATTAGATTTTAAAACTATGATAATAATCATTTTTATTTTTACATTGACTCTAGTCAACCTAACTTGTGACTCGGGTGATTAGTACTTAAAAGTGCATTTTTATCATGGTTTTATATCATTATTTTGCACTTGAAGTATCAATAACTCCTTAACTAAAGCATATTTTATAATAATATATCTAATAATATAAGATACATTTAATTTATGGTAAATGTTCATTTTAAATGCAGGCCTATCACATAAATGAAAGGATTGATTAATGACTTTAAGAACTTAAATTGCAAGGGCAAAAAGATGACCAAAATTAGAAAAGAGATGTCAGTGCAATCCAAACCGGAACACTGTTCGGTAATTGGGTCATATCTAGAGCTATATATCTCAGATTTAGGTCCAATTTATATGGATGGAAAGGTAAGACATAGGCCTACAACTTTCATATGGAGCCCAAGATCTAAAAAGGCCATTATCAAGTCCAAATTGTAGCAACAACAAAGAAGCCCGAATCTGTCTTCCAGCCCGAGCACTGTTCGGTATTTTGGCCATATCTGGAGTTCTAGAAGTCCAAATGAGCTGAATTGTTTACACAAGAAAGCTGAGACAATTGCCTACAACTTTCATGTTTACAACTGGCTCCAATTTTGACGTTATCAATGACGTTTTGGGCAGACAAAAGAAGATAAGGATTGTCACCAAGTCAAAAGTTGGTCACCCACTTATCAATTAGTCATCAAATCAATAGTTCCCATTTTTGGCCTATAAAAGGAGGCATTTGCCATGCATTTAGGCATCTTGGTTTCCAGATCAAGATCATGCTCTTCCTTTCTCTCTTTGTATTTTTTATGCTTTGTTTTCATTAATATTAAGTTTATGCCTTTCATTTCCTTTCCTTTACTTAGTTAACTTTTATGTTCTTATTTTGTTTATCTATTTTGCTTTCTTTCATTATGTCTAGCTAAGTTAATTATGTCAAGGTGAAAAGGTTACACTAATGGTGTAAGAATAAGTATAATGTAAACTTAATATGGACTTTAATGTTTGATACTAACATGTTTTATATTTGTTATCTTGTTCACTCTTTAATACTTTGCTTGTTAAATGACTAATCTTATTGTTGCTTATAATTGTTGTCTATAATTTGTACAATTAACCTCCATGTGGTTCGACCCCGGTTTTGCCGGGTTATTTATTACTTCGACACTCCTACACTTGGGAGAAGACATCAATCTTTTCGTCGTGTCATCGGGCCTTGACCAATAATTCGGGCTTTGTTTCAGATTAATCTCTAAGTTGAGTTTTAAAACTATGATAATAATTATTTTTATTTTTACATTTGTTTGTTGAATAATTTTGGAATTGAGGATTTTTTCTTATAATCTTTTAGGAATAAAAAATAATAAATAGTCTATGAGACATTCTCTCTATACCTTATATTTTATAAGTATAGTAATTCACTCTAAAATTAATTTAAAAACAAATTTATTTTTATATTTTTGTCTTTATCTATTCAACTAAACAAATGTTTTTTTATTGTCTTCATCTTTTCTATCCTAAGACAATATTCAACATTATTTTAAGGTTATATAATAAATCATATTTTCATAAGAAAAACATTGTAAAAAACCTGCAACAATTATTGATAAATATTGCAATAAAAAAGAAGAAGAAAGAATACAACATTTAACGTGGTTTGATAATATACCTATATCCATAGGAGATGAGAGCTTTTATTTTTTATTATATAAAAAAAAAGTTATATAGCATGTATTTATAATAGGCATTAAACCATTTAAGAAAATCTAGCAACTTGAAAAATCATAATCATCTAAAGAATCATGTGACCTGTTTAACAAAAAAACTTAAATTTCTTTGTAAATTTTTATTTGGAATGTGGGTGTTTACTAAATGAAAAAACCAATTCAACAGGTTATTATCAAACCCTACAAAGATATCTAGTGAATAGAGATGGAAAGAATTAAGCCATAAAACCACTCTTGATTGAATTATAACTAGAAAAAAAAATGAATTTAATAGTTGAGTTTGAGTTTCATTTAAAAATAATAATTAAAGTTTTTATCTAAGTAATAGAGAATTAGATAAAATTAAGTCATACGATCATATTTGATTGAACTATAACTAATTGGGATTGGTTTTATTCAAAAAGCTTAAAGCTCATGATGGATAGTCCATTTTGAATTCTTTATATTGCTAATTTTAGTGTTGTATAAGTCTTTACTAATGCAAGATTGTGATGAAATTTATACCCTATATGAAAAAAAATTATTGAAATATTCTAGAAAAATTTTAATTTGACCCAAAATAGAGTTAAAGTTATGAATGTTAATATAAAGATGGTTGCACATTAGAGAAAAATTATCGTACATCAATATAGCAAAAAGATATCTTCATAAATCACTACAGACAACCATGAAAATTGTTGTTGAAAGTGATAAAGGTATAATTAAATTTCACTTACAATACATGCAATATTGGTAGTTGATTGAATAAAGTTCAAAATTTCTAAGATTTTGATGCTCTTATATTATCATCAAATATGTTTAAGTTGAAATGGATATTTTTTACATTAAATCATGACACTTAAAAGACATCTGCTACTTTCTCCATTAAATTTAGATGTGTTTCTTATTTATATTAGCTAAGTCT